CAGCAATCATCAAGTTAACATTACACCTCTGATGATCAAATTAACTTATCAACTCTCTTCAATAGAGTGATAAGTCCTCAAAAAATCATGTTCAACTCACAAGTGTAAAAATCATCAAGTTAACACTACACCTCTAATGATAAAATTAACTTATCAATCCTCTTTAATAGGATGATAAGTCTATAAATTACTGTTATGTTAACACCACACCTCTAACAGTTAAACCCCCATGAACTTATTAATTCTTCATTGTCAAAACGCGAGGGTCATCCCTGCGTTCCAAATTCCAAATGCGAGGGTCACCCCTACGTTCCAATATCAAAACGCAAGGGTCTCCCCCGCGTTCCAATATCAAAATGCGAAGGTCACCTCCGTGTTTTCAAAAACAAAACGCATGGTCACCTCCGTGTTTCAAAAGCAAAACGCATGGTTCACACCCTCGTGTTCTAAAGATTAGACGCGACCCTCATATTTGCAAAAGCAGAACTCAAGTCTTGCTTGTCAAATCTCTGCAACCAAATTCATGGTGCCTTCGAGACAGATGCAGTGAGCAACTCCTTTATGATAAGGAATCAACAGTACACTGTTCCAAGATCAAACTAAATCGAGATCCAAATTATTTTAAAAATTTGTTCCAGTCAACCTTGGACTTTCAAAAACTTTGGAGGGGGTTCTGTAGGCTGTCAAAAAAATTATTACAGGTTAATCATCATGATTTCAATCACCCCTGGGTTTATCAGTGATGAGAGTTACAAATTGACGACTCTTACACTTCAAAAAGCCAAATGCAAAGATTACATCATGACAATCTTTAGAACTTGAAAAAGAGATTATAATTAACGATCTCTTCAAAAGCAAAACGTGAGGTTCATCACCGCGTTCCAATTTCAAAACACGAGGGCCACCCTCGCGTTCCAATTCAAAAAAAGCGAGCGTCACCCCTGAGTTCCAATTCTAAAATGCCAGGGTCATCCCCGCGTTTTAATTCCAAAACGCGAGGGTCACCCCTACGTTCCAACTCTAAAACGTGAGGGTCACCCCTGCGTTCCAACTCCAAAACACGAGGGTCGCTTCAGAACATGAATATCGTGTTTGACCGGCTCAATTACAATTTGAACGATTCAAAATTGTTTTCCACATAATGATGGCCATTAAACCCCATTATGGAGAGATTTATGGGGTTAGTTACACCCCTAGATCTTTATAAATAGCTGAGAATTCAGCTGAAAGAGGAGGCTTTTTTTGGACCCTAGAGAGCTTCTTGAAACCACTAGCGAGCGAGATGCTTCTTGAAACCCTAGCGAGCGGGTGGTGCTTAGAACTGATCTTTGTTGATCTCAGCAGTTTCCAGCTCTCTTCAATCAAAATGGGATTGTTGATGCTCGCAAAAAACCAACGATGAAAGTTACAATCTGACTATTTTCATGGCAACAAATGAGAGTTACAATTTGATGACTCTCATATCTTTAGAATCCAGAGTACGGGGGTTATAAGATGACGACCTTTGTATTCTAAGAAGACTTGATGCAGAGGTGACACAAAGATTACAAATAGACGATCTTTGTGTCTCCGAAACCAAAAGCGATCCTCGCGTTTCAACATCTAAACGCGAAGGTTGACCTTTGGGTTTCAACAGCTAAACACGGAGGTCACCCCCGCATTTCAAAAGCCAAACGCGAGGGTTTATCTTTGCGTATTGAAGGTAGATTGCGGACGTCGTGTTTGACCGTTTCAAATTACTTGAACGGCTACCCACTTAATGGGGCAATTAAGCCCCCATTATAGAGCGAATTAAGGGGTCAGTTACACCTCTTAGACCCTATAAATAGCTGGTTCTACAGATGAAATTGGGTTGGAGCTTTTGGGTTGGAGCTTTTAGATCATTTGGCTTGGCTTTATGAACCATCTTTGGTTAAAGATCTTTGAGATCAGCGATTGCCTTAGAGAGGAAAGCCATTGGCTTACTTTGGATAAAAGGACTGAAATTCTTTTTTGAAATTAACTCTTTCGCAGAGTTCTTAAACTCGTTTAGAGTTCTAAACTTGCCTGACAGGTTCTTTCCTATGTTAAGTCAAGAAGAGTAGATAAAGTTCCACGTAGCGTGGCATTCGGATCGTCAACGGGATACAAGAATCAAATTCCCATCGCCACCAAGAAGAACCTAGCCTTAAACAAAGAGGGGGATCCGTCATCTCTTTTGTAAATTGGGAAACCATAATAAAATTATAATTTCTTTTTCTAAGTCAGTTAGAATGAGATTACTTTGAGAGATTGTATTCATTATTTTCCTAAGTCAGTTGAGAGATTAATACAAATTTATTTCTTAGTTTTCTTGTAATTTTTCCCGCAAAATAGCAGAGTATCATGCAATATCCACAATAGCTAAAGAAATTATTCATCTTCGTCGTCTTCTCAGTGACTTTGGTATTTCTGTTCTGACTCCTATTCCTCTCTACTGTGATAATAAGAGTGGTATCCAGATTGCTAATTAATAATCCAGTATTTCATGAGAAGACCAAACACATTGAGATCGATGCTCATTTTGTTCGTCAACAAGTTATTAAGGACAAGACAATTCAACTTGCTCTTGTCTCATCCGCTGATGAGCTTGCAGAGATTTCTTTACAAAGACTTTACATGTTCATCGATTCTAGATTCTTGTACGCAAACTCATTTTGTTTGATCCAACATGAGTTTGAAGGGGGCTGTTGATATTATTGTATGTGTTAGTAGTGTGTTTAGCGGTTATAAGAGCACATCTCACCTTCCTCTACTTATATATATATATATATAGTGAGTGGATGAGGATGTGACACATCACTACCAAGCACAAAATTTGTGCTTGGTACCAAGCATACTCATTTTTCTCTCTCTCTATATATATATATATATATGTACATTCAATACTTAAACCTAAGAGAAATTTAACCTAAGACTCACTCTCTCTATCTTTTAACACCCCTTATTGCTCTACTAAGAAGATAGAAAATCAAAGCGGGGTATCGGGTCCGACCTCAGTGGCTGTCCCCTCGTC